TTGAGAGCCATCTCCATAGGAGTGGGGAGGCTGGGTCTGTGATAGCTTGAGAGTGTGTGGAAATAGGGTTCAGGGCATGTCCCCCCTCCCCCAGGGACGGTCTACAGGTTCTGGGCCCTGGAGACTGTCTGATGAAATGAGATAAAGCCACTTTACTTCCTGAGTGTCCACCAAGGCCTTCAGGGAGGCGGATCCTTGCTACAGGGACCTCTCACAGCAGAAACCCATCTCACCCAGCAGCAGCTTGAGGTGGGGTGGTCCATACATTTGTCCTGCTTCTACAGGAGAGGACACTGAGGCTCAGGAGGGAATGGTTTATCTAGATCCCACAAAGGCTGGACAAATGAGCCCGCCCTGGCCCTTGGGTTGTGTTAGACTCTGCTGCTCTACCTCCATACTGCATGACTGCTCTCTGAGACCCATTCCTCAGTAGAATTTGGGACTTGATGTGCTAACCAGCATTGACCCCTGGTCCTAACATAGATGCAGAGAGGCCTCCACGTAGGCCAGAGAGCTGCATGAGGCAGAAGAGCAGGGAAACTTCCCATCCTAGCTGCTTGGAGCTGCTTGGCACCGCTCACAGCTGGTTTACCTTCCCTCTTTGGTGCTGCTTCTTTGATTTGAATTAGAACAGTCGCTTCAGACCTTGGGCAGGTCCCAAGCCCTGAAAGAGAGACGCACATATAATGACATAATTGTGTGTGCCAGCAGCCAAGTTCCCACTTCAAGGCCAGGGACAATGGGAACTCACCTGGCATGGAAGCAATGCCTAGACTCCCTTATGCATCCAGTGACTGCTCTGGGGAGCTCCATTCCTCTCTGAGAAGGCCAGGAGATAGAGAGTTATCCTTGTGGACACAGAGTCCCTAGCAGGACTATGGTGCTAGCAGAGCTGGCCAGAGTTCAGCATTGTTTCCTAGGAGCAGGGACCATAGAACAAGTCCCATAGGCCTTGCTTTTTATATTCACTGTGATTGATTTGGAAAACAAACCTTCCAACTGTTCCTGTCCTCTGAAGGTTTTACTTGTTGGATATGCTGTTACCTAGTCTTTGGGGTCCCCGCTTATGGGATGCCTGTGATCTGGAGAACAGCATCCCATTCCTGCCCCCCTGCAATGAGTAGTACAGTGCTAAGCCATATTCCCTGGCCTCACCAAAGCTCTCCTGAGGCCTTGGCTTCCCTGGCGCCTCCTCACCAGATAACCTGAGGTCTCTGAGTGTAGGGTTGTCTCTTCCAGGGACCTGGGTCTTCCTACGCTAAGGCTCTGGGGAAAAGGCTGCCTCATACCCCTGGGGTGGACTTGTGTGTCAGAGAACAGACAAAATGGGCCCCCACTGGGTGGATTCCCTGCTGTGAATAGAAAGAGCCAGGCCCCACATGGGGCTATGAGTAGCAGAAAGAAGCCCCTGCTGCCAGGCTGCATCAGGATGTGTGTGGCTTCTGATAAGCCGCTGACCTTGCTGAGTCCCCAATGCTAGCAGGGCTTTTCTGAAGAGTAAAGGATGCCATGAGGGTACCTCCCCATGCCATGGCCAGGGACCCATTTTGTCTAGTGTCCAGTGAGCAGCATCCCCTTCTTCAGTAGTGGCCACACCCACAGTGCATACCAGGTCACCTTCGGTCTCCTATGTGGGACTGATGGGTGCTGCTGTGAAGTGACAGTATGGATCACACAGTTCCAGCTGTGTGCTAAAGTCGCGCTCCCTGACTTGCCATGCATGTCCCCACAGTTGGGCCCAAGGACATGGAAGTTCAAGGTTGGGGATGTTACATTCACTCAGTGCAGTTGCATCTTCTGCCCACGCCATAAAGCACAGGAGCAGAAGTGACTGAAACTCTCCTTTGAACTTGGAATCATTTCCAAACCTCCATTCCAGTGCAGTGGGAACACAAAGCCAGTGGCAAAAGGAAGCCTGTTGAGCCCTTCCTGAGGAGGTCACCAAGCACCTCCTGTGCCTACCTTATCCCGGATGCTTAGGACAATATTGTGGACGTGTAGGTCAGTGAACTGGCCACGACGTGGCCTGGCGCCTGCACACTGCCCTGCTTGGTCACAGGAGAATGTAAACATGCACGGGAGCCCTGGCTTCCTGGCCTCCTCCTTTGTTTATGTAGCACTAAAACTAACTTTGGGGTCATCTCTCTCTGGCATGAAAGCCCTGAAGCTTTTTGAAGTTCCCTGGAGTTAATAAAATTACTCTGCCCTCCTTCTGAGACCCAGGCTTGGGGAAAGACGGACCTCTGCTGTCTCTGCATTTGGCTTTTTTAAGTTACTATTTCATAACCCAAAGAAGGGGCAGGGAAGATGTAGCCAGAGGGCTGTGAGGGCTTCTTTGGGGCACTAGTAACCTACCTGTGGCCCAAGCTCTGAGGATGGCAAGCCCTAGCACTACAGGACAGGCCGGCAGCGTCTGTAGTACACTTGCAGAGCCCAGTGGTCATCTCACTCTCATGCATCCTATAGCCCAGATACCTCCACAGCAGTATGTGCCCAAGTTTTATCCCAAAGATCCAAGAGCCCCTGTTCTACCCCCACCCCTTGGGCCCCCCCAAGGTGAGTCACCCCTTGGTGAGTACTTACTCAGCAGGACTCTTTGGGGCAGGACTATGCAAGGCCAGGCCTGGGAGCTGACCTTTTCTGGATGCCCAGTCCAGTGAGGAGACAGATGGGCCAGCTGGCAGAGGTAAGGCAGCATGGCCAGCTCAGGCCAGGAGGGCCCAGGCTCAGTCCTGGGGTGCAGGGAGGCTGTCTGAAGGGGTTGTGTCACTGTGGAGCCTAGTTGGGTTGGTGCAGTCCCAGGGTGGGGGCAAGGAGGGGGGCAGTGGGCAGAGAGGGTGGAAGGAGGCACAAGTGGGTAGATGGGTACAGTAGCTGGTGTGGGGAGGTTTCTTGGCTATGTGACCCTTCTAAACTTGTCAGGTGATTTGCTTCTATATTGTGTCTGCTGTTGTGTGTCAGGTATGTGTCAGTGAAGCTGCTCATCAACACAAGGCCATTAGTGCAGAGCACAGTGCCAAGGGGCCAGGGCAAAGCCACCCACTCACACAGGCCCTCACGGCAAAACAGTTGACTCCAGTTACGTAAATGGGCAGAGTATGCAAAGGAGGAGGAGGTAGAAAAGAAGGCATGGTCTGCCCTTCTGGAGCCTACTTCTCTGAGGAACCATGAACAGAGAAACACGTGAGGATATGACCCAGGCCAGGTGGCCAGACAAAACCAAGGTGGAATGCAGGGAGAGCAGGCTATGGCTACAGTTCACCCTGCAAGGCCTAAATCTGGGCCTATACTAGATGTATCAGATGGTAGCTCTCAGTGTCTGTCCTCAGTCAGTTTCTCGTCACTGGGACAAAACACTTGTCATACACAATGCAAGAGAGGGTTTTATCTGGCTCACAGTGTTGGGCCATAGTCCGTGGTTAGCAGGCTTCAAGGAACAACCACAGGGTGGAAGGATGTAGCAGAGGGCAGCTGCTCACAGCACAGAGGTCAGGAGCAGAGGACAGGAAGACCAGAAGAAAGAGGGACCCATCACTTCCACCACCCAGCCGACTCACAGCATGTTCCTGGACTGTGAACTTTTGGTAGGGTCTGTGAGACTGGTGCCCTGGGGGACATTGAGGTTGAGACCAGGAGAGCCCCCACACGGGCTGCACACAGGGCCAGTTAGTTCACAGCCTCAGTCCAAGCCATAGCAGACTCCACAAGGCTTCTGGGCAGAGAATCATCAGCTGTGAAACCAGGCCCAGTCCTGCCAGTGCTATTCAGAAGGCTATTCTCTACATGGACTTTGGGCTCCTGGTGCTTTTGATATTGGGAGTCGGGTCTGTGTCTCAGTCACGTCTGTCCCCAGGGGTGAGGAATGGCCTGGGGCACCTCCTCTGCCTCCAAGGGGCCCCCAAGGACCCTGGCCGCTGCTTCAGGCCAGGTGAGCCCACCACACTCACTGCTCACTGGTGTAGAGCCTGGTTGGCTTGGGTTAGTGCTTTTGTCATACTGAGGATGTCACATTATGTGGCCCATTCAAACCTCATCCCGGCCTCAGCCCAAGTCTCTGCAACAGGATTGAAGGTTCTGCGGATGAGGGGACAGAGGGGTTCCATAGGAAGGAGCCCAGTCAGCAAGGGCTGGGCCAAGGGACAACATTCTCTAGCCTGCTCAGCTCAGCACCATAGTGGAGGGTATCCTGGCAGGAGCCCTGGGCAGAGGTAAGCAAAGCCGACTGAATGGTAAGGCCCAGCCTGTGCTATACGGGCATGTCCTCCTTCCCCAACTCTGTCTGGCCTCGGGAGGCTCATGCAGACCCAGCTGCTGGGGCGGGAGTGGCCCTGGGGGAGCTCCTGAAGCTGAGTCCTGAAGGACGTGGAGGAGACCCTGTGTGGGAACGAGGCCTGTGAATTATAAAGGGCTGTGCTAGTGGAAATTATTATTCTTATCATTATTTGTATCCGATTCATCAATCACTGGGGAGAGGAGGAATGCAAGTACCTTTTATCTGGTGCTATGAATCAAATAGAATAGGATATGTTTTTCCAAAAGGTTTTTAGGGTAAATGAGACAGTTTCTGCTTTTCAAAATAATCCATCTTGGGCCCATGGCCAAGTCTGAGTAGAAATAAGATGCTTCCAGGGCTGAGAAGAGCCCAGCCCACATAGGTGCCAGGCAGAGGCTGTACACTTGTCATTTCTATCACAGTCCCCTATGGGAGCGTGCTCATCATCATGGCTCAAGTTTGCCTTAGGAGAGAGTACCCACAGAGCAGGGTTGGCAAAAATAGGAGATGGCCTGGCCAGGGAGGAGAGGTCTGAGAGAAGCTTCCAGATGTGTATAGCTTATGCAGGGTCAGGCTGGGCCTCGCCATGTCTTCCTACATGTGTGCTCCCTCTGGGCCTAGATGCCACAAAGAGATGAGGGACAGCAAGAGCAGGGGTATGGTGCCCACAGAAGATGCAAACACTACTGACATCCTCCTCTTTTCTCCATGCTCGCTGTCTGCACAGGCAATGGATGACTACAGTGTGATTGGTCGCTCTCTGTTCAAGAAGGAAACCAATATCCAGCTCTTCGTAGGGCTCAAGGTGCACCTGTCCACAGGGGAGCAGGGGGTCATCGACAGCGCCTTTGGCCAGAGTGGCAAGTTTAAGGTCTATATCCCTGGTAAGTGCACTTTCTCCTCCGGCTCTGGGGCACTGTGCAAGGCAGGGACATGGTAGAGGTGGTTCCAGGATGTGCTGCTTGGCCTAGGTTAATGATCCTGCCTTTCCAGCATACATCCTGACATGGAATCAGGATCTGGCCTGAGCAGGGTCAAGGTCAGAGTCTGAGCTCCCACTCCACCCTATAGGGGTGATCTTAGATAGCCCAACTCCTCTCTGAGTGGGGATACAGCTAATCCCACAGGACAGTGTAGGCATGAGGCAGACCACCCTCAGTGTCGCCTGGCTTTGGGTACTCCTGGGTCAACAGGGCAAAACCTTGAGTTTCTCCCTGAACTGGTCCCTGGCACATGGGCATTGATTCCACTCGCATTTTACAGAGGCCTGAGGGATAGACAGTGAATATCCCAAGTGTGTATATGTGTATGCACGTGCATGCTTGTACAGAAAGGGGGTATGAGAGGGACTGTGGGAACATTCACATCCATGCACTATGATCTGCGATTTTTTATTCCCCAACATGGTCTTACATAAAGTTCCCAACACAGCTGAGTTGAAGTATTTCCTTGTGGGCACCTATCAGCCTCCCCTCAGTGTCACCTGGGCCATTCCTGTCCTCTGTGTCAATTCTAGGCTGGCTATGACAGCAAGGGGCATCCAGCAAAGGAGCTCTGTCAGCACAGTAATGTGGCATCCCTAGGGAAATCTCCCTAAAGACAGTCGTGTGCCAGCCCCAGCCAGCATGCAGGACTCCTTTGCTCCTCTGCAAAAGTGAGGGGGCTGTGGTCTCCCTGAGCTTTCTCTAAGCCGTGAGGCCACAGATGACACCGCCCCCTCCCGGGGAGATGGTTGCTGCCAGGACCTTGCTTCTCCATGGCACCAGACTGACCCTGTTTGACTGCACCCCTTGCCTCCCCCAAGCCAGAGCTAAGCCACAGAGGCAATGCACTCTAGTTGTGACATCCTCAGCCTTCCAAATCATGTCTGCCCACCACCCCTTCAGCCATCCCAGAATGCTATGGGTCCCCTCGTCTTGAGTGTGTATTATCCTCAGAGCCTGGGCTTTTCTCTGGGCTCCAGAGAGTGTGCAGGAGATAAGCCAGACAGCCTAGCTTCCAGATCATGCTACCAGGCCAGGGTGTGCTTCCACAAGGGAGAGCCCATGGGATGCCTCAGCAATGCTAGGCATCCAGAGAGGCAATGCCCAGTGGGCAGGGAGCCCAGGATGCTCACCCTTCCCTGAAAGCACTATCCCAGGCATGAGGAGTAGACCCCACCGTACCCTTCTGAGGAGTCTAGGACCGTGCTAGTCTCCCCTGAGCTCCTCTCCCTCTGGCCAGGGCACATTCAGGGCTGGCTGTCCCCAGAGGAGGCGGTGGGGGTGTGCTCCCAGGCTGGGTGGGCGGAAGGAGGAGGGATGTGGCAGCATGGTGCTCTGGAGTTCACATTCCTCTACAGGTCAGCTGCCTTCTTAGTTGTCTGCTTCCTGTTTGTGGTGCTCTTGTTAAACATCACTGGTCAGATTCCTTTATCTCACCCTCCTCCTTCCATCTCTCCTTGGCCCTCCCACTGGTGCCTCCCTTTAACCTTACTGAGGAGCCTTCATTGTGAAAGCATCTTCAGTAAGTGAGAGCCACCCTGTACCAGGGGAGGAAAGGCTGTGGCAGGCTGCAGGGTGGTGGGGAAGCTGGGTCCCATGCTCAGAGGGTCCTCAGCATGGGGAGTGGATGGAGTCGGGGCTGCACCCTGCAGAGCAAGCTCAGCTGGGCCAGATGGGAAGGGTCCTTGGGTTCCCTTGTGGCAGCCCCTGCCTAGGGCTGCAAGTCACATGCCAGCAGGGCCAACCAAGGGTTGAGGAGCCAAGTGACATGCAGCTCTTTGACTCATTATATAGGGATGTAGGTCCTGGATCCCTTCTGTCTTGTCCCCTGATTAAAAAATGAACACTGTCTCAGTGAAACAGAGCCCACACTGGGGCAGCCAGCAGTCAGGACTGGAGAAAGGGCCTAAAAACTGCACTTCCAGTAGTGCTCTCTACAGAGTTCTTGAACTGTTGGGACTCCACAGTGGCTTTGCTGGAGAAAGGGTGCCGGGCACTGAAGAAGCTCCTGCCCCTGTGGCTGTGTCACCACATCCTGAAAACCCTGACATAGGGCCACAGGTCCCAACCCTTCTCATTCCCACGTGGTAAGGGACAAGAGCCCCCTCTTGGGGACTTCCCATTGGAGAAGAGCCGGACGACAGGTGCAGGGGACTTGTTCTTGATGCCTTCCAGCTCTGAGTTCCTCACTCTGGAAGATAAGAGAAATATGCACACACCTTTCTCTTCTGAAACCCTTCTGCTTGCACTAGCTCCGCCAACAGCCAGGTACATGGTGGGCACCCTCCTCCATAGGGTTCCTCACTGGCTGTTTGGAAAACTCCAAGTGCTGCTTCCCAACAGGACATCCAGAGCCTGGCCTAGCATAGAAAGTCATGGGCCCTGCATCCTCCTGCACACAAGTGACCATGGAGCTGCCAAGGCACGGAGCTTCAAGTACTCACTAGATTGAAGCTAGGGCCACAGTGATGCCCTAGAACCACAGTAATACTCATCCTGCACATGGGTGCCTCCCTCTTGCTGGAATCCCAGCACTTTCCGTATAAATAGGAGCTTAGTCTTATCATGATGTCACTGGAGGTTGAAGATCCTGCTGATTTTCACTTAGGGTGACCAGCTTGGGGGGATCTTTTTTTTTTTTTTTTTTTTCCAAAATTTTATTGATAAACAGATAGCAATGAGAGTTTCAAATCAAATCGGAAGTACAGTTTCAACAAATAATACACTGTGGGGGGGATCTTTAATAAGCTTTTAAATTATCATAACTTCATGGACTCTATGTGCATGGGTTACAAAATGAAAGAGAAATGTAGAATCATATGCCCAGAGAGATAGACCCGTAGGCATCTTTGTTCACTCCTTGGCCAGCCCTCAAGCTGAGAAGTCCAGTAAGTCTCTGTATATGCTGTCACTTACACCTGCATTGTCCCCCAACCCTAAGTATCAGGTCTTCCTTTTTTTTTTTTTTTTTTTTTCAGTACCAGGGATCAAGCTCAGGACCTTGCATTTGCCAGGCAGGCACTTATGCCACTGAGCTATACCCCTGGCCCAACTAGGTCTTCCTTCATGGGGCAGGAACTGTGGTTCAATGTGTGTGGTGCAGCCTGTCTGGTAACTGTCAGAGCTAGAGTTCAAACCCAGAGCACTGACTCCTGACTCCTTTGCCAGAGGCTGTCTGCATAGTAGCTGGACGGGCAGGGTTGTCCTCAAGTCCTGGTCACCATTGCAGCTACCACTGGTACCACCACCAGCACTTTATCCACCTCTCTGTGGCCACACATAGTATTGTCCCATTCTACAGGGGAGGGCATGGATACTCCTTGCATGGAGCAGTCAGTGGTGGCCAGTCTCTTAATCTGCCCCTGGTCCCTACGGAGGCTGCTGTGCACACAGAGCCTCTTTCTTGGGGGCTCCCACACTGCTGCTATCCTTTTCCTGTAGGCCTCCCAGCCATTCCCAGAATTCCAGATCCAGCAGGATCATGCACCATGTGTGGAGAGAGCAGGCAGACTCTAGTCACCTTGTGTCCTGGACAGCTGGCACCCTTTACCCCTCCACCAGGATTTTGATGCTGCTGACAGAGATTCTGCCATATCAGAGTTCCTGCTGGATGCTGGCATGGAATTGGAAGTGATGTGGAGCCTGCACTGGTCACCCACAGACAGCACTGCATGCCCCTCACCAGCTTGGGAGAGTAGGGAGCCAGGTTTACAGTTATAGGGTTTGGGTGGTAATTGCAGTCACCTACTGGTCCTCTCTCACCCATCAGGCCTGGCATCACTGGCTCTCTTCCTTTTGCCAGCCTTCCTATACCATGTACCTGCTCTTTCGTGTCTCAGTGTAAGATGCAATGGCGGATTGTTCGTGTGTCTGCAGTGCTATAGGTACCCAGCCCCCAGAGCCCCCACTCCCTTGCAGCTCAGGCTGGGGCCCACAGCAGTCATTCCTGCACCAGGCTAGAATCTGGCAGTCCAAATTCACAGGGGCTGGCAGGGCTGGCTTAAACAGAGGCCTGCCTCACTGGCTGGTGGATGCTGCGTGTCTACACGTGGTCTCTTCTGTGTATGCCTGTGTCCTCGTCTGTCCCAACAAGGGCATCAGTCACCTACAAGATTAGGATCCACCATGATAGCCTCATGTTAACTTCCCTTCTTTCAAGACCACAGCTGCAGGGCCAGCCAAATAGCTCAGCGGATTAAAGCACCTGCAAGCCGGTGCAGGGGCCAGGGGTTCAGTCCCCAGGCCTGCCTGCTGTGCTGGCCCCACCCCCAGGGTGCACTGAGACAGCAATTGAGACTGGGCATGGTAACACACACCTGTAATCCCAGCTCTTGGGAGGCTGTAAACAGGTGAATCAGTATGAGTCTGATCTATTAGTAAGACCCTGAACATCATGTAGACCCTTCCTTTCTAGAGGTTGTTACTTCTGCCTATGAAGATAGGGATGCATTTATTTGGTCACAGTGAGAAGAGTGACTGTGCAATCTCCCACATGTTTATGAGCCACATTCATGCTGTGTGCTGTGTGTGGTACATGAGGTCTTATTGCAGAGCCCCTGGCTAAGGATGGCATCAAAGTGGCTGGGGATGCTGGTGCTCTGAACCTTGAGGACATGTGGGGGCCTCTCTCTTCCTAGAACATGCCTAGATCAGCCCACACATAGCATAAAGGATGCAGCAATACTGTGAGGGCCATTCCTGCTGGCCCTGAGCGTCACCTTAGCAGCCACTCATGTATAGTCCCCCAGAGGAGATTCCCACACCTGTGAGTTAGAGCTTCATCTCTAAGACTGCAACAGGATCCACCTGTCCTTAGCTCCATCTGGCAGGTGGAAGAATCAGCTGTCCAGTAAGATATCCTGTCCTGTCACTTCCTCCCACCCAAAACACCAGCTTTCAGT